TTTTTCAACTAGCTTTAATATTCTTTTAAACGTGCTTTGAGCTTGCTTAACACGTTTGTTAATTTGAGCTTAAAAAAAGTATATATATAACGCGTTTGAATCAAAATAGCTCTAGTTTTACTCATCATAATTTTTCTAATAAATCCAAATGGCCAAAAAAGAAATTTTTGATACTGATAAGTTTTTTCTTATTACTGACGATAATACAAATCTTACAGAAATAAATTCAATAAATAATAATCACAATGTTACATTAATAAATGATAATATACCTGATAACACAAATGAAACTGCATTAACCCCATCCCAATCACGTATGGCAAAACGACGAAAAATTGAGTATTCAAAAGCAACTGGAATTTACCACGCTTAAAGAGTATTTTAAATGTAATCACCCAAATGCACCATTTTTACAAACGAAACATATTGAGTCTTATGGCAAAAAAAGATGAAGAATAGGTCATGTATCTAATTGAACTTCTTATTCGATGGATAATTACAAATCAACAAGCATTTTCAGTTGTTGAAAATGTGGATTTATTAAGCATTAGGTTAACGATTTCATTTAACAAGACAATCAATTTCCGAAAGCATTTTAGATTTATATAATTACCAAAAGGATTTGCTTCTTACTCTTTTAATGTCAATGCAAAATAAATTTACAATTACAACTGATATATGGTCCTCATGCACAAATCTTAGATATCTTGCTATTATGCTTCACTGGGTTAATGAAAACTGGAGCTCATCAAAAATTTTATTAGATATGGTATCACTTCATAATGGAAGTTATATTGCTGATAAAATATTTGAAACAATTACCTATTATGGTTCAAAAATTCTTACTATAATAACAGACAACGCAAGAAGTAAGGTTATATTTGGAAATACATTAAATGGAATACTCCAATCTAATTATGGCAATTATGATTTTGAACATGTTCGCTGTGCAGCATATGTGCTGAATCTTGCCATTAGTGATAGTATGCAAGTTGTTGTTAATTCAATTACAAAGTTACGCAATTCTAATAATTATTATTCACTGATCACAACTCATTTTCGAAGAGCTTAAAAAAATTTTCGAAATGAAAGAACAACTTGTTTCTGATTTAGATGAACTAACCCAATGGAATAGCACATATATGATGATTAATAAATTTTGTTAGATATGAGAAATGACTGATATTCTTGTAGCATTCAATGCAGAACAATATCTAACTGATGAGGATTGGAATGAAATTAATGTAAGTTTATAATGCTTTATTATCTAAATTATTTAATATTTATATCATTGACTTTTATTAAGACCATTGCAACATCATATCCAACATAAGCGATTTACATATAGTATTTCCTGTTATTCTCAATATATTAAGTAATGCACTTAAAACAAATAATAATACAGTATCAATACAAAATAAAATTGTATAACAAATGTATTCAAAACTTCAAAATATTAGAATTATATAAAAAATAGTTGCTATGCATCAGTTGTTTTAGATCCTAATGTAAAACTATCATTATTTGATGAAGAAACTGCCTTAAAAATCTATACATTTATGCGTAATATTTATTTAAACTAAATAAATAAACAATCTGTTTATAATTTATTAACTAGAACTAAAGATTATAATAATCTAAAAATGTATTTCAAAAAATATTTTAAACATTCAGCTACTGGAAACTAAAAGCATAATATTTTAGAAGAATATCTTTCATAGGCTAAAGAAGATTGTGATATCCCAAAGTTTTGAAGACTTTGATCATTTGATATGTGTTACTTTAATCTTATGTAAATGATATAGAATTATTAATTATATAAGCAATAAGCATGTTTAGTAAACAAATTTTTAGTCGCTAAATATAAATTAGTCTAATTCAAATCAGTTATTAATAAAGAAAGTTTGTATAAACCTTTACCTTAAAACTTAATTTGAAGTAGATATTATTAAAATTATTTAAATAATCAATAAAATTTCAACAAATATATATTTAAAATTTATAATTATTTAATTATTTTAAAATAGTAATTGATTCAACATATTTTTCATCATAAATAATATTAACATAAAAAATTAAATATAAATAAAAATACTCTAATAAAATATAATAAAAATTTATTATATAATAAAATAGATAAGCAAGCTTACACTAACTTGCTTAAATAAATCAATCTAATTATATAATATATTTGTGTTTAACTAATATAGTAAACTCAATTACTTAAAAACTTATTTTCTTAAAAAAGCTTAAATTTAAAGCTGTATTGAACTAAACTTAAGCTAAATTGATTTAGTAATTTAATATTCTTAATGAACCTTCAGTTAAAAGAAAAAATATTAACTAAAAATTAATAAACGTGAAAAAGAGATAGTATCTTTAAGTTATCTAAAATTTGGTATTGTTAAAAAAGAAGTATACAAAATAGAATAAAATATATATCTGATTTATTAAAAAATATCTAAGATATTAAAGGATATGTTAGATAAATTAATCATTAAATATAAAGATTAAAAGTAATAGGAATTCTTCACGGTGTAAATAGATTATAAGTCTTAACTATAGGTCACTTTCAAGGATAATATTACAAGAATTCATCATAATAAAGTACAAAAAGTTGCTAATCCTCAAAATTATTTGTCCTAATATTAAAAAAAATTTTATATATAGTATATGATCTATTATTTATATAACAATAAATAATAATAAACCTTTTTTAATGATGATAATACTGTAATATATACATTTACAATACCAAAAATTATACACAAAGGATATAAATAACAATTTAATATAAATAATTTTTTTGCTACATACTTCTTATATGTGATTTATTAATCAAAATAAAAATCAAGATCATTCTATATATGCTAACTGTGTATTAGAAAAAATATAAATTATGTATAATAAATTGAAAATAATTTTAAAAATATTTTATGGTTAACTCATCAAAATCAAAAGGTTTGACTTTTGTCAAAATGTAATTTAGAGTTTATTTCGCAACTTTAATTAGAACATAATTTTTTTTAAAAAAATCATTTTTGAATATTTTGTCTTCCATATTTTTTGCTAAATGAAATAATAAATAAAAAAGAATAAGAATATAAAATATATTCTGACGTAATATTCTTTAAAAAAAGACTGTAATAAATAAATCATGCAAACTTTAAATTATTAATATTATCTCAACTAAAAATATTTTTAAATCATATAATTAGATCTACAAACATATAATTAAAGATCTATAATCTGACAAAATTCTTATTTTTCTATAAATTTATATTTATTTGCAATAGATAATTAATACTTTTATTTGACGCAATTTTTTTATCATTATTTTATATAATATTTATTGTTAAATGATATAGTTGACAAACTTTTTTTTATTACCTAAAATGTTGATAGGATTCCTACACATATTTTACAAATTACTATTTAACAACTTTTCTGACAAAGGTTTAATTTGAAAGTTTGAGGTTTTAACTATTATATTTCTGATCTGAAACTTGAGTTTAGAAGAATTATAGAATAAATATAAACAACTATTTAATATGTAAACACATATGAAGAATGATTTAAATTTACAATAGATTTATTTAGAATTAATAATGAATTAGATATAAATATTATAAGTAAAAGAAAAAATAAAATATATTTAGTAAAATTATTATCAATAAAATTATTAACTTGTTTATTTAATTAAAGAAATATAATTAAAATTTATGGAACTTGCTTTTTTACATTATTATTAAGCTTCTATTTAAGAATTTTTAATAATTATTATATTAGATTTTAGAATAATTACTGAATTTGATTATTTATATAATTTATAATAAATAATAGATTAATTTTTAAAAAAATAAATACATATTAATATTAATTTTTATTTTTTAAAGCTTAATTAAAAAGAAATATTAAAATAATTATATATTTAATACCTTCTTATAAAAGGATTTAAATATTATTAAAAGAATAAATAAAAATAAAAAATCATAATAATAGAAAAAGAATTACAAATAAAAAAAGATATTAAATATTTAAGATTTTATACAAAAATTTAAATAAGTCATATAGAGTATATCAATACTTATCATAAAGTGGATAAAAGAAATATAAGTTTTAATGCAAAAAAGTCAACTATTAACACTTTTTGATTTAATGATAATTATAGAAAAGGTATTATTAAATTTTTGATTAGTATAAAACTTTAGAAAAAACAAAAAAATTTAAAAAGGCTTAAAGTAAAATTAAACTTATATTAAAGATATGTAATATATTTGTAAATTAATTAAAATTATTTATGAAAAAGAAGTAAAAAACTTAAAAGAGAAACTTATTAGTAATAAAACTATGTTGTTTAATTTTATTGAAAAACTTGCTAAAGAAAAAGTAAAAATATAAATTTAGTAAAATAAAAAAAAAATAAATAAGCTTTAGAAATTTTTAATAAAAAAACTAGCAGAAAAAAAACAAAAAGTTTGAAAATTCTTTAATATTTATTTATAATTGACTATATGTATGTATAAATACTATAACTAACTATATGAATTTTTCATTTGATATACAATCTCTTAAATATATTTCATTAAAAAGAAGCTGTTTCTGTTGTAAGAGAAAAAGAGAGAAGTTGTTAAGAATTTTTGAATTTTATTTTTTAGACTTTCTTTTAGATTATTTATAGCTTACAGAATGTATTATTCATTTATAATTTATTAAATAACTAAGAGTTAGATCAGATAAATTAAATTTCTCTGTTAGTTTTTAGTATGTTATTATATTGAAAATCTAAAATAAGCCTTTTGAGATCTTGCATGTATATAATTGAAGATAAACTAAGAGATATTGCTAATATATAAAATGGCAAGTTGTTTAATTTATAATTTATCATTTAATTAATTTGGTTTAATCATATGATAAACTGATAGACTAATTTTTGCTTACTTTTCATAGGAAATTCATAGTCAGCTACATAAATCAGTTTATAAACTAATTGTAACATATGAAATATCTGACCTATAGCAGGTATTTTAAGACTTATCTTTACCTTGTTATCTTAAGAAATAATAACAGATTTATTAGTAAAGATAGTGACAAACTATTTTGCATATTTAGTAGATATAAGATATTAGTGATTATCAGAATGATCTTATATCTCAATACATAAAATTGTGACTACTGCAACTTATACTAGATAATGATATACCCTTATAATTATGAAATTAGATTGATAAAGCAGCAGGTAATTATTTAATTTTGTTTACATCATATAAATATTATAATTCTCTTTAAAGTTCTTGTGTAAGTTTTTAATGATTCACACTTTAACCACTTTTTTTCGTCATTTTTTATCATTTTTCATCTACTTCAAACTTAATTAAATAATATAATATAATTATGCAAATTTGAATGTTTGTAAAGAAGTGAAAGACGACTGAATTTATTATATAATATTATCCCTTAGTTTTTGATAAGTAGTTTTCTTTTTTCTTTGCATTTTTAAGTATGACCTATATTTTTTTTTTAATTTAACAATCCTCCCCCTATTAGATTTGATTTTATCTCAAAAATTTATTATTTTTGCATAAATATTATGATAAATTTAAAAATCTGTTACAATACTATAGATTTGCTTAAATTTGATAAGTTTTTTTCTGCTATTAATATTTCATTTGCTACTTTTCTTTGAGCAGATCTATTAACAGAAATTTTTATTATAAAATGTACTAGATAAATAATAGGATTAGAAAAAGTTGAATCTTCTTTAAGTATAAGTCACTTTGGTCTCATTATTTGTATATCATATAGATTATATGGTGTGGTCAAGTAATTTCTAATTATTTTATCAATTTCTGATTTTCTTGCTTTTAATTTTATTCCATTCTTTTATAACTTTGTGATAAATATCATTTTAGTTAAAGATATCATTTTCAGTTTTAACTATAATATTATATATATAAGCATTGGTAAATTTTTGATACTTATTTGATGGTGAATTATAAATCAGTTTCTTATTAAATTTAAGGCTAAATAAGAAGTTTAATGACTCATTTTAATACTAGAATTAGAAAATGGCTTGCTTGTTTTATAAAAAAGCTTTTAAAACAATTTTTTTGAAGTATAATTTTTAAAATACATTTTTTTAGAATACAATTTTTTAGTACACTGTTTTAAAATGTGATTTTTTTAGAATATGATTTTAGAATATGATTTTAACATAATTTTCTAATTTTAAAATAAATTTTAAATGACTTTTGAACTTAGAATTTTAAAACACTTGAAGATTTTTTATTTAAATATTTTTTTTAATCTATTTAACAATAAAATTTTTAATTATTATAATTTTATTTTTTGATATATTTTACTAAAATTGATATATTAATTCTATAAAGAAAATGATTTTTATGATTAGAATATCTTATCTGTAGGTAGGATAGGTATTTTATAATTAAATGATATTAGGTAATATATGTTATTGCTCTTACAAATTATGATAGTTAAACGTGATATTTGAAGATTGACTCTTTTATAGTTTATATAGTAAATTAATTGTTAATAAATTAAATAAATAGTTCTATTATATTTTGCGAGGTATATTCAAACCTGTAATAAATTGAATATATATTTTAATTATATATTGCTAAGTATATTCAAACTTACATTAAGTTAAATTATTTGATTTATTATATATTATCGAGTATATTTCTATTAGTTAGTCAGAATTAAATATTAATTAAATTGATTTAAAAGGATTTACATAGATATTTTAAATAAATTAAAGGTTTATTGATAAATAAATAAAATAAGAGATAATAAATAATAAAATAAGAAAATAAGAAATAAAAGAAAAATAATTAAAATAATAAATATTAAAGTTAGAGTTATATATAACCTTTGAGATAAACTGATTGAATTGCGTTTAGTAATTGATAGTTACCTTTTTTTATGATGAATTTGATTCTCTATATTTACTTTTAATATTATATTTAATAACATAATAAATAAATCAAATATTCTAACTATATTAATTATATTAAATATATTAAATATTAAACATATTTAATATATTTAATATTTTTAATATTTTTATATTTAGTATTATATCACATTTGCAGATCATATAATTATGATATAACATTATCTTACTAATAAAATTATTTGCTGTTATATTAAGAGAAAAGAAAATATTTAAGAAAAATACATTCTTTTTTATCTTATCAAAATGGAGAAATAGTACTTTTTTATGAAACTTAGATAAATGATTTTTAAGAAGAAAAAAAAATAATTTACTATTGAAGTAAAAACCTATTTAAAAGCTTTAAAGTTGTTAAAGATTGACATAAAAAACAAAAACAAGAATTATTAAATAAGATTTCTAGTTTAAAAAAGAAAAATAAGAAGTTAAAAGAATAAAATAAATAATTAAAAAAATAAAATAGAATAAAAAACTATAAAAAGAAAGTTGCTGAATTAAAAAACAATTATCTCAAATAATTTCTTAGCAGAAAATTATTCTAATTAAAGTTAAAATAATTTTGATTAAAATTAAAAAAGTAATTTAAAGATTAAAAAAATTATTGGTTTCTTTTCATTATTTAAATTAAAATATATTTAAACAATAAGTTAAAGGAGAGTTAATTTAACTTTAGATAAGTAAAAAAATATCTAGCTTATTATTCAATAATAACAATAATAAAGAAAGTACTTTTTACTTTATGTTTCTTTAAGTTTTTATTTTTTTTAGTTTATCATAAGTTAGATTTAAGGTTTGTTTATTATTTATCATTTTTTTGTTATTCTTGATAAATTTTATAAATGATTATTTTTTTATCTAAATATTTCTGAAGAGTTTAAAGTATCATTGATTTTAAAAATATGTAAAACAATTTTTTCTTCTTATTTTTTTTTAAAATGCTTCTAATTGTGCTATAATTCTTAGTTTTATGGTGAACTTAATTTTATATAATCTTTTTTATATAGAGATAACCTTATATGAAATATATTATTATTGTATAATAACAATTAAGTAAAAAAATTATCTCAACCAATCAGCTACATTAGCAATTTTTCAATACATTTAGTAATTTGTTTAATAAAAATTTATTAAATAATATTACTTTTTTTTTTTTTTTAATATAATTAAAAAAAAACTCATTTTTCAAAAATTTATTAAATATTAGAAAGAAATATATAATAATTGATAAAATTAATATTTTTAAAATAAAAAAATATAGTATTCCTTTACTAACCTATTTATCACATAGTGTCACACCTCCCACTTTTTCATTTTTACTATTTATTCCAGGAACTTAGAAATTTGTATATGAAAATTTTCTATTCGTCACCATTAGATATCAACGTGAATTTTTCTTGGTACCGGGGATATGAATATCCTACCCCCTAATCCCCTTAACCTAAACCCTAAACTAACCCTAATTCTAAAGCAAATTTAAAAAGAAGTCCATTGAAGGAATAGTTTATATAAATCATAAAAAACCATTTTTACAAAATAAAATTGTTTATTAAATCTTTTCAAAATAATTTCATCATATCCATTATTATAAATTTAATAGTTTTAGTAATTTTACTAAGAAATAATATTTATTCCCAAATATTTTATTATATTCTAAAAGATTTTATTTTTTTTCATTATTTAAAGTCGAACATTATAAAAAAATGAATTACATAAAATAGATAGATATTACAGAAAAAGGAAGCGTAAGCGTAGGACACTTTCGGTTAGAGTTAATCTGTCCCCACAGTTGATCAAATAATTTTTTAAGTATGGTTGATCAACTAATTTGAACGCTTCGGACGCTCCGATCTAGTAAGTAATTAATTATTTAAACCTTTTAAAAATCATGTTTAATGATCTTATCATATATAAACCTCGCTAAATGTGTCTATATAATAAATTGACACATTTATTGTATAATCATGTCATATAAAATTTTTCTTAACGAACTTATATCTCACATGACTTTTATATATGGGACCTTTTGCAATAGAAAAGGGGAAAAAATGAAAAGAGTTAATGCTAAATCTGACCTAAAAGTCATAGCATATAAAAGTAAAGTTGATTTTTTTTCGGTAATTTCCCCCTTTCGATTTCAAAGGTCCCATAATATTAATACATATTTGTTTGGATGTATTAAGTTATTTTAATGGTTTAATTTAAAGTTTTCCAAAATCATCACACGAATGATATACATAATAAGTTGGTAATTAATAAATATTTTAAAGACAAATAATTATTGTATCTCTATTTAATTGGATGGGGCAGAACTTGAAAAAAAAAATTACTAAAGCGCAAACAATATGATTGGTATCGATCTTACAAATATCTTTTAAGATTTAGTTTGTGAAACAAAAAAAAAAATGGCCAATGAAATCAAATTTCTAAAGCTTAATTTTAATTGTATTAATTTGATTTATTTTTAGAAAAAAACAACTCGAATATCATTTAACAAACATGGAAGGTGAAAATTTTGTACAAGCCGAACCAATTGAACGAGAACCAGTATATGCTGGAGTTCCAATTGATATTTATTCAAATACCATGTATGGCGTTTTAGACGGAATATGTAAAAATTATGATTATTCATCTGATAAAGATTCAAACATGGGTAATGAGAATTCGGACTTTGAAGAGACAGGAGATATGAATATCGAGAGAAATGATAGTAGCGAAGACTCTAGTGAAGATGATGACCAAAGCTCGAGCGATGCTGAAACAGATTCCAATGAAGATTCTGATAGTGACGGGTCGGATTCTAGTGAGGATACTGATGATAATTCAGAGGAAAGTTCAGTATTGGTGGATATGTCAAATGGAAATATAAACGTTGAAATGAAATCGGACACAGAGACGGATTCAGTATTGGAAAATGATGTTTTTGGAATCGATGATCCGATACCCGAGTTGACTGAAGAAGATGGGCTAGGCTCGGAACAATTAGAATTACTTGGTAAGACAAAATCGGAAATATATTGATATATTAAAAATTAATGGATCTAACATAAACGTATGTATTTTTCTTTTTTAGAAAAATCAGAAAAAATTCGAGAATTTTTAAAGGACGATTATTTAAGAGAGATAATACTGGAGATTGATCATTCTGCAAGAAATGATGATCGCAATGTTGAAACATTATTGGATAATATAAAGAAAAATGATGAAATGTTTTATCATTTCACTGAAGAGATATTGAATGTAATATATGGACCCCCTAAAATGGACTTTTAATAATTTTTAAAAAAATGTATTTAAAATTCTTAATATTCTTAATGGAATGCTTTACTCAACAAATTAAAGTTTACTTTTTATATTCTCATCACAAACTTTGACCAACATTTTACCAGTATTGTGACCATTGAATAATCTCAATAACCCTTCCGGGGCATTTTCTAATCCTTCAATAATAAATTCCTTTCTTTTAATTTTTCCTTCCTGTATCCATTTTGAAAGTTCATTAATCGCCTCAGGATATCTTTTAACATAATCAAGGCTAAACATCAAAAGAAGTAAGATTAATCTTTTTACACGATATTATCTTTTTAATCATCATATATATATATATATATATGCTTACATGATAAAACCTTCCATTTTGGCGCGTTGAGAAATCAGAGCTGTATAAAATGCAGGACCTTTGGGTTGCGCTTCGTTATATTGACTAATAGCACCACATAAAACAATTCTACCATTTTTAGCAATCCTTTTTAAACATTGATCTAATATATCACCACCCACGTTATCAAAATATACATCGATATATCGTGGTGTAGCTTTAGCTAATTTTTTTACAAATTCAGGATCACGATAATTTAACGCTATATCAAATCCCAAATCGTTTACTAGCCAGTTACATTTTTCTTCAGATCCTGCTATACCTATTACACGTGCTCCTTTGATCTTTGCAATTTGACCTGCAATATTACCCGTGGCTCCTGCAGCCTATTTTAATATAGGAAGGAAAGAGAGAAATGGTTAAGAAGTCTTCGGAAAGGCTGTGAATTTAGGAAGTTTCGTTTTACTTACTCCGGAAATAACAACTGTATCTCCTGGTTTTGGTTTACCTATAGATAATCATCTTTAGATTTCTTATCGAAATACAAGTCCAGGGTAAAAATGACTTACCGACTTTATTCAAAAAAAAAGAGGGAAGCAAATTTCCAATGGATGAAATAATGAGTAACGCGTCAACCTCGAAAAACACGGTTGAAATTTGTTAAAAGATACTTACTTTCAAGTAAACCGAAATAAGCAGTTAATCCAGTTTCACCAAAAATCCCGAGATAGTCATGAAGGACTGCACCAGGCGGTGGACTAATATTCGTCAGATCGAGAGGATGATGATATACATGCATAAACAACAAAGACATATAAATACATATGCTTACGTGATTTTTTTAACATACTTGCCATCGGTTAGACCATATTTTTGCCAACCTATTTTTAAAATCATACATTAGTTTTATTTTCCTTTTTGTCTTAACTGATATTAATAGTTACCTAGAAATGCTTGAACCATGTCGCCAACTTTAAATTTGGGATTTTTAGATAAAACGACTTCTGAAAAAGAAAAGAAATCATTCATTTTAGTTATCATTAGGCTTATTTTTAACAATAAAAGTTTTAGTAACACTTACCGCCGATAGCATTACTACGCATGATCTCGTTTATTTCTAAAATAGAATTCAGTTAATAAAACTTACAACGGAATTGAAATTTACTTGAACGTGAAATGATTAAAGATTACCTAATGGTTTTATATAGCTAATGTGTCATAAACCAATCGCATAAACTTAATAAATTTTAATCAAGTAAAAATCAAATAAAATTCAAATCGTATAATTTACCTTCTAGTATCATTCATCCATCCACGCATAGCTAATCGGTCAATTCAATTAACTTGTAAACAACTTGTAGAAAATAAATAAGAAACGAGACGAATGAATTAATTATCTTGCCTGGATCCAATGAAATATAATAGGTCTTTATTAATACTTGATCGTCCTTTAATTCATTTTGAGTAGGCAAAGGAGATTTCAAAATGGCAAAAGTTTCCTTTGGATCAAAGTAGCCTGGTGCAGGACGTTTTACGAATCGAATTTGTGTATTTTCTTTGGACATTTTTTAATAAAAATAGAAAGGGAAATTTTTTAATTTTTATGCAAGGTCAAACCTTGTGATGTAATTTTCTAATTTCGAATAATTGGTGATCAAAACAGTGATCATTAAATCTGTTGTAATTCCCAAAAACCAGGTAACGTTAAACTCTTCACACATTTTTATGCTTGCGTCGCGTCAGATGATATCGAGCATAAACCTAACATATACCAGCATGATCTCGGTTCCAAATTGTCATTTCGTATAACTTTCAATGTCAAAAAACTTGGTTATAAACTTGATTCCAATTCGAATAAGAATTTATTTGGATTCAAAGAACGTGTTTACGCGTAATTAATTTAACCTTGAAAACTTCCTACGCTTATCAGGATGTCAGGGGATCAAGAAAAAAAAATAATTGTTCCTTGTTTCTATTATTGGTTCTTTATTTATTTATTTATTTTTTTTTTTTTTTTAATTGTTGATGACTTTAATTAATTTTGTTTGTTTATATTATATTTTTTTTTTTTGAACAGATCAACGTAAATCAATAATCGACAACATTGTCAGGAGGGAGGGGTCTCTTTCACATTGATAATAATTTGATTGGTATATTTTTTAAGCGTGAATTGATAACAATTGGTTATAATTTCTATAATTTACAGCTTTGAAATTATTTGTTTTTGTTACATCATAAAAATTAACGCAGTTTAATAGAGTTAAGAAATTGTATTTTCGGCACTTTTGCTACTTGGATGTTGTATGACTGTCCACCATAGCTTAAAAAAACATCAAGTGATCTTCAACAACAATAGCCAAGAAACTTACCATTTAAGAGTACTACACATAAATTTTTTGACTAGAAAGAGAATATACATACAACTGTAATCCATTGTAATAACGCCAATCTTTTTATATATAAATTTATGTATTCTATGTATCTATGTATCTATATAAAATAAATCTTCTTTCCCCCAAAAAAAAAATTTTTTTTTTTTTTAAAGCCTTCTTCTACCTTTGAGAATTTTTAAACCTCTTTTTATTTTCTTTTTTTTTTTTATTCCCCTGCTTTTTTTTTTTTTTTTTTTTAAAAAAAAATAAAGCGATTTTACTTGATTTTTTTGTATTCGATTTTTTCGATATTTTCGATAACTTTACCAAACCAAAATACTCTTTATATAGTAAAGTCGGGACTATTTTTCTTTGTTTCAAAACCTTATTCTGTTTCACATTTTTCGCGTCGCGCTAATAATTTTCTTGGTTGTAATGATAGTGTTAACCTAATAAGGACTCGAAGCATCAAACAAAATTCCAATTTTAAAGACGAACTTAAAAAAATTATTAATTTTCCCGGTCTCAAAAAAATTTTTTTTTTCAGATAAATAAACATTTCGTCATTGAATCATATCACTCCTAATAACGTAATCGACTAATACAAAAGTTAATACTTTTTAACGACGACTTTATCGTCTTTCCCATATAACCCATAGTTTTTTTATTTTTTTACCTTTATACATTACTGGTATACAACGTACGAAAATAAAACCATTACCGTTTATATATATACATACACCACACACTCTTCTCTATTATACAAACATTTTCATAAAACATGTTTGCTCCGAGATCTTCAAGACCCTTGACTGTTGCTTCTTACCCTCAGAATAATCGTGGCCTGAGACGTAAAAAGAAAGGCGAAAATGCCACTCCTGCTGTTAGTATCTTAGTTTTTTTTTGGATCAAATATAGAAATTATATCATAATGGTTCGAGGGAGGGAAAGAAACTTTGAACAAATATTGGGTGTAAAAAATGTGCTCAATTTTAAAAAAAAAAGCTTTCATGTATTAAATTGGATATGCTTCTCAAACATCATCAGACGTTAATGAAAAATAAAAAAAAAAAATTTATTTTATATAGATTGAACTGGAACGAATTCTTGGATTAACAACTTCAAAACCAACCGTAATGGCAACTGCACCTTCACTTGATCTCGTAGCATATGCAGCTGGTTCTGTAGTGGTATTATATAATCACAAGAAAAATAAGCAAATCGCTTTTTTACACGCGTCATCAAACGCTTCTCCATCACTTGCTTTTTCTCAAACAAATACTGCCTCATCTTGGTCAAATGCCTTTCCGAATCGTCATACAATCGTTGGAGATGGTGTTTTAAATCCATTAGGTGCTTTGGGTTTATTAGAACCTCCTGCCAATGCTAATAATGCTAATAAAATCGCTGTTAGTAATAAAGCAAAGCCAATATCTTGCGTGGCTTTCTCTCCCGATGGTAATTATTTGGCTGTGGGTGAGGTATGTATCATACGCATTAATGCGATTTACAAACGTTACACCGCATGATCTATTGTTACACGATTATTAATTATGGAACTTACCATTTCATTAGGCTGGCCATCAACCACGCATCTTAATATGGGAAGTTCAATCAAGAACTCTAGTCAATGAATTAAAAGGTCACAAATATGGAGTGCTGGCGCTTCGTTTCTCTCCAAATATGAAATATATCATCTCATTAGGGTTTCAAGTGAGTGGGACTTATCATTCAAAAATATCTATCTATATCCAAATATTTTAATTATATATATTTTTTTAATTTTATCAAATTTATCATGTCATCTTAGCATGATGGATATTTAAATGTGTGGAATTGGAAAACGGCCGTGAAAGTCGCGTGTAATAAAATTACTACCAAAGTTCATACTCTGGCATTCAGTCGTAACGGATCGTTTTTCGTTACGGCGGGTCTAAGGCACGTGAAATTTTGGTATTTCGACCCAAATGGAAATCTACCAAAGAAACCAGCTGTGAGTAATCTAGCGTATAGTAAATTCTAAAGGTTCTGTAGAAATAAATTTATTGAAAGCAATTTTTTTTTTTTAAAAAAAAAAAAGGGTCAATCCATACAAAAATCACTTGTTCAAGTGCTGGACGGACGTTCTGGTATATTGGGAGATTTGAGAGATAATAATTTTGTTGACGCGGCTTGTTGTCAAAAATCGGATCACACGTATTTTGTCACTTCTAATGGATTGTTATGCATGTTCACGGAGGGTAGGTTAATGGATAAATGGGTTGATTTGCAGGTCCGTGATAATTAATTTGCAAAGAAGAATTATATAAACATATGAAAGAAATTTTTAACAAAAATTTTATGTAAATTAAAAAAAAAATTGGTTTTGTGAAATAGGTCAAAGGCGCCTTATCGATTGACGTTAGCGACCAATATATTGTGTGTGCGTGTACGAACGGAATTGTAAGGTAAAATGTCAAAAAAAACGCGTAAATCTCTGATATTTCGTTTCCGATTTGCCCTAATGCTTATATACTTTATCATAGGTTGTTTGAACCAATAACATTAAAATACATAGGCACTTTACCGAAACCACATCCACTAGGAGTTGATTTAACCTTACAAACTGGAACCACCTATTGCGTTGGTGGTCCGAATGATGTACATCCAGATACAGTTGCAGTCAAGTTGGACGCTGAAACCGGAAAACTCACTTGTATATATAGTGATCGTAGTTTTTTCATTTGGGATGTTAAAGACGTAAAGAAAGTGGGAAAATATCGAAGTTTCTTATGCCATTGTGATACCATATGGGGTGTAGAGGTAAGTTGTTCAATCGTAAAGGAAAAATGTAAGTTTTTATAATCATTAAAAAATATAAATATATATATATATTTTTTTTTTCTCCCTTTTTAGATGGTTCCTGATCGCGACTCTACGGCTACGGCAACATCATTACCCGAAAATACGTTTGTCACGTATTCCTCTGATAATACAATTAGATTTTGGAATTTAGATCATAATAATTCTGGTTCCAATGGTGGAATTGAACCCGGGGCTAACAATCTTAAAAGAAATATTTATAGTAAAGAATGTCTAAAGATTATTTATGTCGATCCCGATGGGAACTATAAATCTAGTGCTGGTGTTGCTCCCACAAGTAATGATGCTGGTAGGTATATGAATGTTTTTGAAAGATTTCTCCTTAAAGCAATTTTGTCATTTATTAACATTTTTATAGAATCGTTGGAACAGAACGCGGGAAATATTAATATGCCTGTTGAATCTAGCATTCGTACTTTAAAAATTAGTCCAGATGGAAAATTGATGGCATCCGGTGATCGTGGAGGAAATTTAAGGTATTAAGAAAAAATATATTTACTCATAAAAATATATCTTTTATCAAGTGATTAATTTCGAAATTTTTTCAGGGTGCATGATCTTGATACCTTTAAAGAAATGACCTATCAAGAAGCACACGATGCAGAAATTTTGGCTATTGAATTTACTGATGGTAGTATACACGGTAAGTGAAAATGAAAGGGTAATGTGATTTAAAACCATTATAATTTATATTTTCATTTTTTTTTTTAAAACAAAAAAAAAAATCAGATACACCTTATTTGATCGCTACTGCGAGCCGAGACAGAATATTGCACGTGTTTGATGTTAATAGTAATTTCAAACTAATACAAACGTTGGATGATCATTCTTCATCGATTACGGCTATAAAATTTACTAATGATGGTGGAAGATTGATTAGTTGTGGTGCTGATAAGAGTATCATATTCAGGAGTCGAACAAATGTATGTAGAAAATTTAAAAAGGTTGATTAACTATATAAATATTTATTAAAATCAAACTTTTTCTATCAGGCCGGCTCTTATGTATCCCATCATAATATATCAGGAAGAGCTACAGTGTTTGATATGGATATTGATATATCAAATCGATATATTGCGACAGTGTCTGGTGAACGTCGATTAAATGTGTTTAATATCGAGACAGGAAAGAATGTTCGTTCCTATAAATCCGATACTCCTGAAGAAGTTAACGCTCAAGACCAAGGAAGCCTTCTTAGGATTTCATTGGATCCTGGGGGTGTACATGCAGTTACCGCCGGTTCTGATAAAAGTATTAGGCTCTTTGACTTTTCGAATGGTGCTATATTGGGTAAAGTATTGGGTCATTCAGAATTAATTACAGGAGTTAAA